GAAATACAAATGGTTCTCAGTTCTTTATCACAACAGTTCCAACTCCTCATTTGGATGGGAAACATGTGGTGTTTGGCCAACTAATTAAAGGACTAGGTGTGGCAAGGATACTGGAAAACGTAGAAGTACAAGGTGAAAAACCTGCCAAAGTAAGTGAAAAGTTAGTGAAAAACACTTACTTTCTTAGTTGCTATCTTAAAGAAATGTAGGTAAAGCATTAGGCGATATGTGCTAGAAGAATTGGAAAAAAAATGTTAAAATGATTTTTGGTGTGGGAGCCTGGATCTGCAGCCTTTTCTTTTTAACTCTTTTCTACAATGGGAAAGATGACTAGGATAGTTTTAAATAAAGTGATTTTAATTCTTATTTCAGTTTCCAAGTTGGTGATCTTTGATATATTAAGTTGTCCTAGACCTGCCATATTTTTGAGTCAGTATTTATAGTAGAAAGAGGACAGTAAACCTAAAATCTTGTCTGGGTTGTGCCATTAATACAAGTTTGGCCTTGATCTTGTTATTTTTCTGGATCTGTGTCTTCATTCTTCAGTAATCTCAATTGTCCTTGAATCAGAGTGGCTGTAATACTAGCTGACATAAGTGATGGGGTTGTGAGTGGCAATTGGAAACTCAGTTGCCTGTGGAGGTAGGCTGTCACTCATCGTGTAAAGGGAGTAGTAATAAACCGTTACACAGAATGATAGAATTGCCAGCTAACTTTGTGTTTGCTGAGCTCCTGAGTAGGAATAAAGTACTTAAACACAAATAGTGATATATTAGGTGGTATGTCTCCAAAGGGCATTACAATTGTAGCAGAGAGATGAGCCTCCTAATGTAAATCTGAATTGGACAGTATTGTACATGACTTCCAGCTGTATAGCTTTTAAATGTAGGCAGTTTTTAAATCTCTCACTAATATGGCAGTACACTTCTACAATTAAGGATTATTTTTACAGTTGTGCATTATTGCAGAATGTGGAGAATTGAAGGAAGGGGATGATTGGGGAATATTCCCCAAAGATGGCTCTGGCGACAGTCATCCAGATTTCCCTGAGGATGCGGATATCGATTTAAAGGATGTGAGTACTTCAGATTAGTTGAAGTTTAATTACTGTAATAAAAATATTTGGTACTAAAAGTTTGAGCTCTGTGTTAATCTGTCATATGATAGATCTAGCATTAAAGCACATTATTAAAATCTAACATTTATATTTTTTATACAGGTAGCTAAAATTTTATTAATAACAGAAGACTTAAAAAACATTGGAAATAATCTTTTCAAAGCCCAGAACTGGGAGATGGCCATTAAAAAATATGCAAAAGTTTTAAGGTA